TCCATAGCTCCATCAGTAATAATAGAGTTGACCCGTGTAGATTCATTGACATTATTATTGAGAAGTTGCATCAACTGTTTGTACTGTTCAGGAGTGATAAATTGAGAGCTAGATGAAAATGTAGATGGAGCACTTGATGAAGACAGATCATTCACATTATGAATTGTAGACTCAACTTTGTTTGTCTTAGTGAATTTAAAATCAGCAGGAAAACCATTTAGTCTATAGCATTGAGACTTAACATGACCTGTCTTTCTGCAATGAGTACATTGTAACTGTTTCTTGTGTGAATTATGAGAACTGTTAACATTCATAGCCATTGCTTCAGACACAATAATAGGGCTAGTAGTGATATCACGCTGTCTTTCTTCATGAATCAACAAGGAATGAACAGTAGCAATGCTAGGAAGGGGATTCATCATTAAGATCTGACCTCGAATGGACTTGTATGAATCATTAAGCCACATTAGTAATTGAATTAGTCTTTGTTCTTCTAGAAATTTGTTAATCTTTGCAGCAGATCCACATGAACAATTTGGAACTTCATGTATCGTCTTGAGTTCATCCCAAACTCGCTTGATCTTAGTGAAATAAGATGAAAAATCATCCGATCCTTGACTGATTGAGAATAGCTGTTTTTGAATCTGATATATCAGTGCTCCATTAGATTGCTCATATCTTTGAATTAATTCTGACCAGATCTGTTTAGCAGTTTGTAAGAAAAGAACACTTTCAGCAATATCTTTTGATAACGAATTCAACAGCCAGCTTATAACCATTGAGTTGACTCTGTTCCAATTTTGAAACAGTGCAGAAGCTTCATCTGGTTGAACTTGAGATCCATCAACAAATCCAAGTTTATTATTGGCTGAAAGTGCTAGAATCATCGATCTCTTCCACATCGAAAAACCAGATCCATCAAAAATTTTTGAAACTAAAATTGTGCTAGGATTATCCGAAGGTCCTAGAAACAACGGATTAGAAACTTCAATCGTTCCCGATGAATTTGTAGATGAAGATGAATTTGTAGACATGATGTAGAATTAGATCAAAAAACAAAATCGATCTAATGAAAATGAAAAAAATGAAATAGATTGAAGAACAAGAATCAATCTGTGATTTGAATCAATAAAAAAAAATATGTAGATTGAAGAACAAGAATCAATCTACAGAATGAAGAACGAAGAACGCATGATCGTATTTTCCTTCTCTGGTAAAAGTTCAAGATTTGGAAAGAATTTCTCATCTCATTAATTCATCTGAACAACCAATACAATCTATATACATCAAGTAAAACAACTAATTAACTTAACTCTGATCAACTAACCAACTATAGCTAACAAACAATTAACTCTCTAACAGAAAGTCAAATATAGTCAAGAAGTCAACGTTGACTAAGTTCATCTTCTCCAATATAATTACAATCATGAATATGGAAGTGAAGACCAAAAGAAAGTTACACAGTCAGAAGTAAGAACACAAAAGACTGGAAAGTGTAAAGGAGGCTTGGAAAAAGGGGATCAAACATCGGTATGGTTGCAAACATCGGTTGCATATTCTAATCGGATATGCCTTCCGAGTCGCGCTGCCAAAATATGGACCTGAATTTCAGCCGGTGCACAATAGCCCATCTTTTTTGCAAATAAAATTCATTTTCGCGGATTTTGCCTCAAGAACAATCAAAATTGGAACCCATCAAGGAAATCAAAAAGGGAAAATTAGGGTTTTCATGTGTTATCCAAAATCAAAGAATTGGCCTTGAACAACAAAAACGGAGTAGAATAAGGCTCAACCACCATCAATTTCTTCAATTAGAAACCTTTGAAGAAGTAACCATGACATCAGAAAAATATAGGAAGCTAACCTTGGAAATCATCGAAAGTGGGAAAGAACATGAACTTTTGTCGGAGGCGTTGGCTTCGCCTTAACAGGTGAAACTTAGGGCTACAAATCGCATCTGTAAAATACAAAGATCAACAACGATTGTTTAGCATATCAAATCATTGAACACACACATCATCGAGAAGTTGTGGAACATCATCAGTCCTATCGAAGTAGAAGCTTAGTGGTCTTCCAAAGGAAAGAGTAAGTATGTATACGAAGCACCTGGAGGAGATTTCACGCTCTATGTATCTGAGCAAACGGTTGAGTTATCCTACAAAATTGAGAGAAGACATTGATTTGTAGCAACGTAATTGGGTGAGAGAGGTGGTGAGTCGATGACTATGCAGAAGAAGCCACAACTCAATATATGAAGTCGGCTTAAGAATGTTAATGTTCATAATCTGGAAAGTGCCTTAATATTATATATATTTTAGACTATTTAAATAAAACAATTTTCTTTAAAATCTTACCGATTGCTCTTTAAATTTTTATGGGATAATGACTTAAAAGGGTAATATATTTTTCGATTTGTACACATTTGGTCACTGAGTTTTTTTTTCGTCCACATTTACCCCTTCAACTTGTTAAACTGTACACATCCAGTCCTTATGACCGGTTACTCCAGGTTAGCCGGGAAAAATGACTTATTAGGGTAATATATTTCTCATTTTGTACACATTTAGTCCTTCATATTTTTGTACACATTTAGTCCTTAATATTTTTTTTGTTTCAAAATAAGTCATTTTTTGTTTTTTGTACCAATCCAGTACTTATGAATGATTCATTTAGGGTTTTTCTCACGACATCTAACATGAGACTATCATTGATGACAGGGACGGTTCTCTTTGGGTGCCCGCAGTGGCACCGACAACCCCTGCTTTTTCTGTACGCAGTGTAAATTTTTCGATATTTTTTTTCTTTTTTCTACGGACCGGCAACACCTACTACCAAATCCTGTGTCCGTCCCTGATTGATGAGGTGTTTAGGGCTGTTAATGCTTATGTCCATCGCGGCCTCGATTGCTTGGTTGCATAGGTCTTGTGGTTTGGCTTAGGTTTTGTATTCCGAACGTCGTAACTTCTTCATACGATATCTGATTTTAACGATCTTTATATCTACGTGTTCGTTTTTTAAGTCCGCTATAACTTTCGTTAAGATTACTCCCGTTAAAATATAATATGTTTTTACTTACGATTTTATAAAAAAAACATTCATACATGCATTCATAAAAAACGTATGGATATAAAGATCGTAATTAAAAAATATATTACTTTTTAACGAGAGTAATCTAAACGAAAGTTGTAGTAGACTAAAATACAAACACATAGATATAAAGATCGTTAAAATCCGAGATAGTATGAAAAAGTTATGACGTTCAAAACACATGACCTAAGCAACCAAGTAGTCGTGATCGCGATGTGCATAAGCATCAAAAGCCTAAAACACCTCGTTAATGATTGTTCCATGTAAGATGATGTGAGAAAAACTTAAAGAAAACATTCATAAGTATTGAGTGAGTACAAAAACAAAAATAAATTATTTTGCAACAAAAAAAATTAAGGACTAAATATGTACAAAAATATTAAGGACTAAATGTGTACAAAATGAGAAATATATTACCCTATTAAGACATTTTTACCGGTTAACTTGAAATAACCGGTCATAAGGACTGAATGTGTACAGTTTAACAATTTGAAGGGGTAAATGTGAACAAAAAATAAACTCAGTGACCAAATGTGTACAAATCAAAGAATATATTACCCTTTTGAGTCATTATCCCAATTTTTATTTGTGATTGTGTTGTTCCATGCTAATATGCCATGCACATCATACCAGTTGCTCCTTAAAGTTTTTAGTCGCGATTTTATTTATGGATTTTATTTCATCCAAGAGTTGGAAAGCTAGACAAATAATTGATGTTAAAACGCACCGAATAACTTATTCTTAAAGTCATTGTCTAATTTAAAATGAGTACCCGAGATTACCACCATGTCAACCACAACTTCAACAAGTTTCTCATCATTCATAAGATGATTTAGCGGGATTATGTTGCTAATTAAGTTGTGATTCAGATTGATTTGACGATTTGCTTGAGATTTTAATGTGTTCAAAACCAATTTGTAGAAGTAGCAACCGATAGTCGCAATTCACTAAAGAAAATAAACAGAAAAAACAGGGTATAATTGACAAGAACGAAAAAGGAAAGTAATTCCTTCTTGATTACACCTTTTTCCTTTGAATAATGTATTTATTTCCATTCATTATTTTATGTGATAAGGCCATATTGTGGCCTCAATACATCTCTTTTTTTTGAACGTGTAAGCAAAAAAATGTTCCCTTTCTTTTCAAAAATGGGGTTTCCCGGCCGCAAAACAAATTTCCCCGGCTGATATGCGAGGATATAGGAGAGGGGCTCGCTTTTTGGACATTATGCTAAAACATCATTTCAAAATTCCTAAATTATAATTAAATAAGAAAATAAAAGAAAAATATTTTTTAATAGCCCAAATTCAGTTATGCCCTACACTAATTACATTGGCCTAAAATTCCTTAGCCCAAATTTTAAGTAACGACCCAATGTTTTTTTGACACCACCTAACCCAATAGGTGATAGTTTGAACTTTGAAATTTGAACACAACTTTCTTTTCAAACCTAAGAGTATCTATAATTTAATATAACTACTATAAGAGTTGAATGAGATGATGATTAGGATTGAATAGAAGTTGAATGATTATTGAATGGTTCCATAGAAAGAATAAAGTAATGATTATAACTGCATAAGAGTTTAATGGTTTGTGGGTTTTGTTGTATAGATGTTTAATGGATGATGTGACAAGCCATTGAACTCTATAGTGTTCAATGGATTTGTCGATGCCCTAAGCGTAACCCACAATAAGAAATATTAACAAATATTAACGCCTCTAAACTCTTACCTTGTTCTTCGTTTCAAAATTCCTAAATTATAATTAAAAAAAGAAAATAAGAAAACAAAACCTTTTAACGTAGTTTTAGAAAGGATATGTATTTAATGTTCTAAAAAGAAAAAGAACAAGAAAGAATAATATTCCAAAATCCATGCTCAATTGCTATTGTTTCGTCTTGTTCACCGCTAATCTCACTTGGATTTTACCTCTTGGTTACTCGAAGATTGTCCTTCATCAGATGTCATAAAGGCAACCGCATGAGCCACGATAGTTCCTTCTTTTTTGACCACTAAGGGCTCCACTTGAGGGGATCCCAAAGTTGCAAACTGCTAAACCAGTGAATACAAAGAGTAAATAATCTTCTATAAAAAAATACAACATGTATTTAAGTAGGAAGAAAGAATTGTCAGTACCCCATCGTAAGTGAAGAATGAGCCATGTGACAAGCTCATATATGTCTGAATATTCGATCTGAAATCACCAAAAGCATCCGGGTTGAAACTCCATGGTGTAAGGAATGAATTATCGACTTCCAAGAATGACAAGAGTCTTTGAAAGTTGCTTTTACTGTGGTCAGCAGAAGTTTCATACAGATTCTGGTTCCAGGTTGATCTCCATTCTTGTTCCTTCCATGGATTCATAGCTTCACTCGTAAAACCTCTCCTAAGATAATCGTAAAGAACTTCAGGTTGGTTTTGAAAACGGTTTGCATGTGAAGGACCTGGGGATTTCTAAAATAGTCGATATATACCTAGGGTTTTACGGAATAAGATTTATTGGATGTTAAGATAACTATATCTTTTGTGTGTACAAATCCAGTTGTAATCGCAATCCTACTCCAATTTGGATTTTTGGGTCTGACTTTTAATATGTATACATCCAAGGTTACTCTAGGTCAAACTTTAGTGATGCCTTATATTGTGAGGATATATCTTCAACAAGGATGAAAGAGCAACGACGAGCCACGTTATTCCGACGTGGCATCCCTAACGCCAGTATAACGGGCGGAACACCGCCCCCGGTCCCCGTTTTTAGGAGTTACGTTATTCGGCGTTTGGGTGGTAACGGGACGAAACGCATGTGAACGGTCTATTTTTCGACCGTTGTGGAACGGTCACGAATTAAAAAAAATAAAAATAAAAATAAAAATCAAATCATTTTAATTCCAATATATATTTACACGTTTTAACTTCAAATTTTTACATACAAAATTCATCAAATTCTCACAAGTATACATTTCTATCAAGTTTATTATATTTTATTTATTTCTATTTACAAAAAAATGGATCCTTTTGATATGTTCCATCCGTACAATCATGATATCGACGAGGATGATATGTTTGTGGATATGATGTACCGATATGCTACGGACATGCTACCGCCAGAGCCAGCTCCACTACTAACTAGACGTGCGGCGTTAAACAGAGATCGTGAAGAAGGGCATAGACGTCTAATACACAATTATTTTGCGGATAATTGTGTCAACCATCCTAGCGATTTTAAAAGAAGGTTTTTGTTTGCGGAAAAATGTGTTTTAATGGATAGCCAATGCAAGGGAAAGCATATACCTTAATTAAAGTTGTTTTAAAAATAAAATATATGTTCTTTAGATTATAAAATAATTGTTTTAAAAATTAAATAGATGTTCTTTAGATTATTAACTAATTGTTTTAAAAATTAAATATATGTTTAGGTATGAATATTTCGAAATGAGGTATAATGCAAGAGGTAAACGAGGTTTTATAGGGTTGCAAAAATGTGCTGCTACAATCAAGCATAAGCATTGGGGGAGTCGCACGATTCTATTGATGACTATATGAGAATGTCAGAGCGAACTGCACGAGAAAGTTTGTATAGATTGGTGAGAGGTCTTATCGAAACCTTCGGTGACAAATACACGTGCAAACTTTCACTGAATGACATGCAACAACTATATGTGGCGCATAAAGAAAGACATGGTTTTTCGGGTATGCTTGGAAGCATGGATTGCACAAAATGGATGGATTGCACAAAATGGATATGGAGAAATTGTCATGTGGCGTGGAAAGGTCAATACATAAGTGGTCATCTTGTATCGCCTTCATTAGTATTAGAGGCTATTGCGTCACAAGACTTATGGATTTGGCATGCTTTTCTCGGAATTGTGGGTTCTAACAACGACGTAAAGGTTCTTGATCAGTCACCAATATTTCAAGACCTTTTGACAGGAAATGCGTCGGATGCTCCTTTCACAGTAAATGGCCATGAGTATAAGTTTGGATATTACCTCACGGATAGAATATATCCACCATATTCCACGTTTGTCAAGGCGTTTCGACACCCGATAGAACCAAGAGACAAAATTTTCAAGAGAATACAAGAATGAGCACGTAAGGACATGGAACGTGCTTTCGGAGTTCTGAAAACAAAATGGCACATTGTTGAACATGCGACACGACCATATGAGTTGGACACTCTACGAGATAGTATGTATGAATGTATCTGTAACATCCCCCACTAGCACGTATCACAATATTGTTCCGCTTTGGGCTCCCGACATGAAAAATTTCCCAGGGGGTCACCCATCCCTGAATTGCTCTCGCCCGGGCACGCTTAACTGCAGACTTCTTATGGGATCTGCTTCCCTCACGGCTTTAAAACGCGTTGTGTTAGGGAAGGTATCCACACCCCCTTTAAGGAATACTTAGTTCTCCTTCCCAGCCGATGTAGGATCAGGTGCAGCTTACATGCCCACCTTCACCCCCCATTATAGGTTTCAACATCCCCGTCGAACACATCGACCTGTGCCCAGGGGGTCACCCATCCGTGAATTGCTATCGCCCGGGCATACTTAACTGCAGAGTTCTTATGGGATCTGTTGCCCTCACGGCTTTAAAACGTGTTGTGTTAGGGAAGGTATCCACACCCCCTTTAAGGAATGCTTAGTTCTCCTTCCCAGCCGATGTAGGATCAGGTGCAGCTTACTTGCCCGCCTTCACCCCCCATTATAGAATTGACATCCCCGTCGAACACATCGACCCGTGCCCAGGCTCTGATACCATTTGTAACATTCCCCTCTGGCACGTATCACAATATTGTCCGCTTTGGTCTCCCGGCACGAAAACTTCCCAGGGGGTCACCCATCCCTGAATTAGTCTCGCTCGTGCACGCTTAACTGCAGAGTTCTTATGGGATCTGCTGCCCTCACGACTTTAAAATGTGTTATGTTAGGGAAGGTATCCACACCCCCTTTAAGGAATGCTTAGTTCTCCTTCCTAGCCAATGTAGGATTAGGTGCAGCTTACCTGCCCGCCTTAACATAAGCTGCACATGATCTCACATCGGCTTGGAAGGAGAACGATACATTTCCTTATAAGGGGTGTGGATACCTTCCTTCTCACAACGCTTTTAAATTTGTGAGGGCGGCAGATCCTATAAGAACTTTGCAGTTAAGCGTTCCCGGGCGAGAGCAATTCAGGGATGGGTAACCCCGTGGGAAGTTTTTGTGTCGAGAGTCCAAAAGCGGACAATATTGTGTTACGTGCCAGAAGGGGATGTTACAAATGTCGGGTTAAGTTACGTGAACCTGTCACACAAGTGGGGGCATTAAAGGTGTATGGAGGGTGAAGAAGTACGGGTCTCTTTGGCTTTAGGAGTAACTTTTGTGGTGCTAGCTTTGGGTGAGGTGTAGAAAAGGAGGGTGTTTGCTAAAACGCACACCATGGAGAGGACCAAGATAAGAAAATCATGTAGAGCTAGTCATGGGCCATTTTTTAAGCCATAAGCGGTGGATTTTGAGAGACTGTGTAGCTGAGTTTCATTTGTAACATCCCCCTCTGGCACGTATCATAAATTCACAATATTCTCCGCTTTGGGTTCCTGACACAAAAACTTCCCAAGGGGTCACCCATCCCTGAATTGCTTTCACCCGGGAACTCGTAACTGCAGAGTTCGTATGGGATCTCCTGACCTCACGGCTTTAAAACGCGTTGTGACAAGGAAGGTATCCACACCCCTTATAAGGAAATGTCTCGTTCTCCTTCCAAGCCAATGTGGGATCAGGTGCAGCTAACCTACCCACCTTCACCCCCCCCCCCCATTATAGGTTTCGACATCCCCGTTGAACACATCGACCCGTAACCTAGATCTGATACCATTTGTAAAATCCCCCCTGGGAAGTCCTCGTGTCGAGTGGCCCAAAGAGGACAATATTGTGATACGTGTCGGAGGGGGATGTTACAGTATCATAAAGCATAGCATGGTCATTGAATATAAAGGACGAAACTGTTGATACATGAAAAGTGAACCTCTAGCAATCCCAAACAATCAAGTTTCGAAGTCAGCTTATGTCCGAGATATGATGAAGTTCTGAAGCCAGATCAATCCGAGATCAAGATGTTTAGAAGTCAGAAGTCTGTACATGAATTTAATGCATTTTGTCTTTTTCATGATGTAACAGTTCATAGGACTTAAATGTGTGTATCTTTTAGATGTTAGTTTGTCAAACACTGATCATTATCCAATCCTTTGAATGTATTTCGGTTTGTACTAGATTCCTCCTTCACTATTTAAGGAGTGAATGTTTCATGACTTGTTATCAAAGTATTAATCCAAGAATAGAAATTATTCTCTTCACATCATTTTCAACTTTCTTTCAAGTCAAAGGTCTTTCTTAACATTCTTCTTGTTCTTAAATTGTCATTGCATTGATTATACTCAAGTTTACTTCATTTATTACTTGTATACTTTGTTGATTATTTATCTTCAAGTCTTAACTGATTTACCAGATTCGACTGGAACTACATATTAAGAGCAGACGTTGATCTTAAAGATTAACTCAAGGTTTGAGTTTTCAAACCTTATCCTTGCGTTTTCAAACAATTGGTATCAGAGCTTGAGTGGTTGTCCTTTGAATCCATAAGAACAAATTATACTTAATCTGAGATTACCTTGGTATCTCAATCATTTCTGTGTTCAGGATAAAAGTTCTTCTATATACCGCTTCTGCTCTAATATCTTAACTTCAATGGTTGCTCCTTATTCATCTCAACAAATGTATTCAATGCAAATAGAAAATAGCGTGGTTTTCCCTTCTCGTGCCCCATTGCTAGTTGTTGAAGAGTATGATCACTGGAAAGTTAGAATGGAAAGTTTTTACTTGGTAAGGAAAAAGGTGAAGAAATATGGAGATCTGTGAAAGAAGGTCCACATGTTCCAGTCAGACACACGGTGAGAGTTGTCGCTGCAACTATCATGGCCTAAGAAGAACAATGCCCAACACCTCTCACTGCTACAAACATCGAGAAACTGCAAGCAGATCAGGTTTCATGGTGTTCGGTGTTCCTCCATCCCTCTTTGAGCACATTAAGTTGTGCAAATATGGAAAGGATATTTGGGACACTCTTCAGGATCTATTTGAAGGATCCGATAACATGAAAGATAAACGTCTGACTTCGTTTGTCAACGATTTTGACACCTTCACCACTATTCCAGGTGAATCCGTAGCCTCAACTTCAAATAGGTATCGGATTGTTGTAAACAACATGACTGCACACGGAATAACCAGAGCTCCTCTAGAGTACAACCTGAAGTTCATCAATAGCCTCGGAAAAGCCTGGGGGAATGTCAAACCGTGTCTTCAGAGTAATGGATCTTTGAAGAA